AAAAAAAAAAACGACAGTGTTACCCCTTACTTTTTTTTTTTTGGGCGAAAAATTAAGTATCCCCAATCTTCTCAAAACTGTAGATTCTGATAGAGGGCCATGAGACAGACCTGAGTGCAAAAATGGAGGCTCTAGACCCTTCCAGAGCTGAGATATCGAAATTCAAAATTTCGACCAGAAAAAAAAACGACAGTTTTACCCCTTACGTTTTTTTTTTTGGGCGAAAAATTAAGTATCCCCAATCTTCTCAAAACTCTGGATTCTGATAGAGGGCCATGAGACATAGACCTGAGTGCAACAATGGAGGCTCTAGACCCTTCCAGAGCTGAGATATCGAAATTCAACATTTCGACCAGAAAAAAAAACCGTAAGGGGTCCTCTGCGTAGTGGAGATGCGTCCTCTATCTGCTCTGAGTGAGCTAAAATCAGCCAATCGTCAATGTAATTTAACACACGGATGCCCTGGAATCTGAGAGGAGCCAGGGCTGCATCCATGCATTTCGTGAAAGTGCGGGGTGATAACCCTAGGCCAAACGGAAGAACCCGATATTGGTACGCTTCGCCCCCGAAAGCGAACCTCAGGAACTTCCTGTGATGAGGATGGATGGAAATATGAAAATAAGCGTCCTTCAAGTCTATCGTCACAAACCAGTCCTCGGACTGAATCTGTGACACTATCTGTTTGAGTGTAAGCATCTTGAACTTGAGTTTCTGAACTGTGTGGTTTAAAAGACGCAGGTCTAGAATAGGACGCAACCCCCCATCCTTTTTTGGAACAATAAAGTAGCGGCTGTAAAACCCTGACTCTCTGCTGGGAGGAGGAACCCTCTCTATAGCTCCTTTTTGCAGAAGTGTCAGTACTTCCTGCTCCATGACCAGAGCCTGCTCGGAGTTCACCACGGTGGGAAGAACCCCTATAAACCTGGGCGGACGAGAACCGAACTGAATTCTGTAACCCGATTGTATAATCTGCAGGACCCAATGAGATACATTTGGCAGAAGTTTCCACGCTGCCAAAAAATCTACTAAGGGTACCAGTCTCTCGAGACTGACCTCTGGATTTAATTGAAGAGCCACTTCGGTGCCCTGAAGCGGATAACCGGCAGGGAACAACCGACTTGACTGTTCTACGACCCTCCTTGGAGGATCGTCTGGGGACGCCGACACCTCGGTGCCCTGAAACGGATAACCGGCAGGGAACAACCGAACTGACGGCGCTGCGACTCCCCTCAGAGAGTCGCCCCCCGGAGGGCGCAGAGGAGAAACGATTCCTCGAAACCGTTTCTCCCCGGAGGGGACCACCCTCAGAAGCCTGACAGCCTTGGCGTCAGGACTTCTTCTTAGCCGAAGCTTTCTTAGAGACAATGACAGTCCTCAGATCTGGCCTGTCTCTAATAGGCTTCGACTGCGAACGCCAGCCCGCCCCCCCCCTCCCCTTTGCCTGAGGAGGAGCCCGAGAAGCGACGCTTTCTTTCTGCTGTACTCTGTACTGCGAGGAGCTCGTAGTCGGCCGAGACTGATCAGAACGCCCAGCAGTCTCAGGGATATTAGATCGGCGAGGAAGAAACTTCTGGAATGCTGCATTTTGTTTCTTAGATTCTTGAAATCTTTCAATAACTGTGTTTATAGAATCACCAAATAAACCAGAAGGTGATAGTGGAGCATCCAGAAGGACAGATCTATCTTTATCTTTTAAATCAGCTAAATTAAGCCACAGATGGCGCTCAGTAGCCACCAAAGCTGACATAGATCGACCCACAGATTTAGCCGTCTCTTTGGTGGCATGGAGAGATAGATCCGTCGCGCGACGTAATTCGCGAATCACGTCAGCGCTGACTTCCTCACAATCATCCAAATCCCTAAGCAGGTCGGCTTGGTACGCTTGCAAAATAGACATGGTATGCAAGCATGCCCCAGCCTGACCCGCCGCCGAATACGCTTTACCCACCAGCGCTGAAGTTGATTTTAATGGCTTGGTGGGTAATGCCGGGGCTTTGAGAGATGACGCTGATTCAGGAGAGAGATAGCTCGCGAGCGTCTCTTCAGCCTGAGGCATCGTCATATAACCCGCGTCCTTCATCCCCATAACGTTACTATAATTATGTGTCTGGGGATTAAAGACACGGAAAGACACCGGCTTTTTCCACGACCTCGACATCTCAGTGTGGAGATCGGGAAAAAACGGGAGTCCCCGGCGTGGAGGCTGCACTCTGGATGGCAAAAATCTCTCGTCTAACAAACTCTTTTTATTTCTGCAAACATCCTGTTCTCCTGTTTCTGGCCACTCAATATTTAGTCTAGAAACAGCACGAGTTAAAACCTCCATGAGCTCCTCATCTACAAGTGACTTGTGATATGGTTTCGTGTGTTCATGTTCACTTGCATCAATACTGATGACATCCAATTCCTCAGAACTGGATAGTCGCAGACTTTGTGCCTCATCCCGGGGAGAAGAAACCGCAGCGCGTGCTTCTCCCTGAGATAAGGCACTAGATCCAACAGGTAAGGGCTGAGAAAGGGCAGAGCCCGTCTCAAACCCCGCTGTTAGATCCATTTGCGATCCCCAAGACGAGCGCCGACGCTGTGCCTCGGCAGCAGCGGGACCCGCGCCTCGGGGAGCGCGCACCGAACCGTCCTCCTCAAAGAACGCCCGGCGAGAGCGGAGCGTCTTCACAGACAGCTTATCGCAATGCTCACAGTCAGCTCCCTCGAGAACTGACTGGGCATGCTCCACTCCCAAATAAGCAACACAAAGCTGATGTGTGTCCCCACCCGTGATGAAACGAGAGCAGGGAACAACACAACGCTTGTATTCTTGTTTAGCCATTATACGATATATTGTGAACAGACAGACAACAATAAATCAGACACGGACAATTTCATACAGAGAGCGCTTGTGAAGGCACAGAAGCTGATGCGGTCTATTTTCTGGGGTGCTTTATAGTTTTCCTGGTCATGACGTCATCGCCCATGACGTCTTGTTCTTCCAATGGACAGATTATACACGTGCTTCACGACGCAATCACGCAGAGCGTTCCCACCGCGTTCCAAACGCAGCTTGAGTTCCCTTGAAAGGGAACCAATAGGTCGTTATGGCAGAGGCGATTGCGTGTAGAATAGGTCAACACGGGTATCTCTCCACTGGAGCGTGTTAACGCAAACGTGTAAGTTTCACGTTTGAGGGGGTTAAACCGTGACATCTACACGTTTTCCAAAGTGGACCATTTAGGCTGCTTCATTAAAAACGTGACATTTAGACGTTTTGTTTCGGCGTGGATCGAGGCAAATGAATCCTTTTCACCTTGAAAATAATAAATGTTTTTTACATTTTTAACAATAGACCATTTTTCAGTGATGGTCAATAAAACAAAATCCCATTTTTCTCGGTGTGATGAAAACCAATATGGTATAAGTTTAAGTTTCAGTTTAAGTGCAAATTTCACGTTTGAGGGAGTGAAACCGTGACATCTACACATTTTCCAAAGTGAACCAAGTGATTATTTCACGTCTTGTCGGCTGGAGAAATGTTGTTTTGGCCACTTTGTTTGATAAAATCACAACAATTTAATGTAAGCAAGAATGGGATTTGAACTCAGGTTTTCTTGATTGAAGCCCAACGCTTTATCAACTGAACCACTGAGTCTGTTAAGTTCAAGGGTTTATTGGATGGGTTTTTATTATAGGTTTGGTTTTATTTGTTGGAAAAATAAATATAAAAATATAATTTGACACAAGAGGGCAGTATAGCCCTATTTATGGTTTTGTTAAACCGTGACATCTACACGTTTTCCAAAGTGGACCAACGTGATTATTTCATGTCTTGCCGTGATACCGGGTGCGGCTGGCTTGACCGTGTATTTTCCACGTGCGGCCCACTTGACCGCAGTCTCAGAACAGCGCATCAGCAGTAAACGCAAACATGTTTAACCGGCAAGGCTTTAAGCACATGCAAATTAACTTTTGTGAACTCGCTGAACTGATGTAACGTTAGCCGTTCCTCTGCGTTAATATTGCGAGTATTTGTCGCGTTGTAAGTTACACTAATGGCAGTGCTGTTGAGACGGAGGTGTCAGAACTGCAACTGACAGAATGCACGATATTTCTACAAAAGCAGTCAGCAGCTTGATTGGAGCAAGAATCATAGCGCAAATTTGAACTATATCGATATATCGCCCAGCCCTGGTGACCTGTGATGTTCTTGTCAACTGACGACGATACTCAGCGCAAGAGCGACTGATACGAAATTGAGCACGTGAACAAGCTGAACCAATTAGACATTCTCTCTATAGACATTTCACAAGATGTAAACAACACTGGTCCAGAAGCACTTCCTGTTTCAGTTTGTAACTGCTTTCTTTATTTCACATGTAAAGAAAACATCTTAAAAATGTTTTGATTCAGTTTTACATGTTCTGCTGGTTGTATTGTATACCAGCTTTTATGTATTGTTAAAAAACTGAAACAGGAGTGCTTCTGGACCAGTGTTGTTTACATCTTGTGAAATGGTCTATATACGTTCTTGTTGATACTTTGAAAGGAACTTTCTGTACGTCAGCCAGTTATGGGTTATGTGCTCTTATTCTCTCCTTTTTAGTCCGGCTGCCGACACCAGTCCCCCTCTTCTTTTTTTTTTTTTTTTTTTTTAACAGATCTGCATGATTCACGTAGGTCACATTTTCAGGTCGGAAAATCCGGAATTCCGGATTAATCCGGAAAAATCACATCCCTGATCAATAAAATAGTAAATTAAAATCAGCTGGGGGTGGATGGGACTAAACGTGATAAACCAATCAGCCAAGGTCCAATATTCAAGCAATGTCTGCCTGTGCGTTGACTGCCTCGGAGAATGGAAAATTATGTGCAAAGTGTCCATAGCAAAGGATGGGGCTGGTGATTGATTTCTGGTAATTAAAGGGATGGTTTACTTTGAAATTAATTTTTGATATGTTTTAGCTTACCTCAAGGTTTCCACAGTATTTTCAATTTTGACATTTTGCCATCATCATTCTGCCAGTCATATAATGGAGGTCTATGGTCACCACCTCAAAGAGCATGCACAGAGAAGTCCAAATTAAACATGATTTAATGACTCGTAAATGTAAGTACACATTGATGGCCTAAGACACGAAATGAGCGGTTTGTGAGAGAAAACAAACAGTATTTATATCGTTTTTACCTCGTGTAGCCACAGCCATGTCCAACTGAACCGAACTGAACCGTGTCCAACGTCCCGCCGGAAGTGATTGCTTTCGTGTGTACGTCACTCATTGTTTACACAGAGATTTCGGAAGTTTTACCTTTCACTGTGAAGATCTAAACATATTTAGATGTACAGAAAATCGCAATGGAAGACGATTTTGATATATCTAAATATGTTTAGTGAAAGGTAAAACTCCTGAAATCTCTGTGTAAACAATGAGTGACATACACACGCAAACGATCACTTCTGGCGGGACGTTGGACACGGTTCAGTTCAGTTCAGTTGGACATGGCTGTATTATATGACTGATAGACAACAACGGTTTGACCGAAAAATATTAAAATTTACTGTGGAAACAAAGACACCTACATCTCGGATGCCCTTGAGGTAAGCTAAAACATATCAAAAATTAATTTTAAAGTGAAATATCCCTTTAACAATTACAAAATAACAGGACAGAGATGGGAGTGAGGGAATGGTTAATTTATTTGTATGCACTGCAAGTTGTACTCACATCAGACATAAGCATCCAGAACCTTCCCCACTCCTGGTGTCTTCTGCTGTTGGAAGTACTATGATGTTCTGACTCCTGTTGTCTACGGCATCTGGCAGCTTCTCCTGGATAGGAATTCGGTCAGCTCACTGAAATGCGAGAACAGCCTATGACGCGCTTTACGTCAATAACAGGACAAATACATACAAAGAGCCATAACTACTTGTATAGGTAGTTTATTTAAGTTCAAACCTATTTGACAACATATTACCACAAAAATAAGTAAATCAACAGACCACAGAGCAAACCTCGCTCGCTCGCTCGCACTCACTCTTTTTCTCTCGTGTTCACCCTCATCACTCTCTGCATAACGGTTTAAACAAACAACAACAATAAATAAATGTTGTGTGCTGATCAAGATTTCCCGGGAACAATCCCCAAAATAATTAAAAAAAAATTTCACACGATTCTTACTCACAAACTTTAAAAAATAAAGCACTAATCAAAAAGTCTAAAGATTTTACAACTAGCCCACATATGTGTGAGAAAGAGCACTGTGTCATTAAAAAAATACCATAGAGAATGTTTAAATACTAAGATCAGCTTACGAGGGAAACGGGGAGGCTGCTTCTTGGAGATGATTGGGAGAGGTCTCTGCACGCGCTGACATGGAGTAAAGCCTTGTTTATACTCGATGAGTCTGCACGAGCGCGGTAAAAAAAATGACGCGTTGGGTGCCCAAGACCGGCAAGACCTCACTTCGAGCTGTGTGCAAAGCTTGTGTTACAGCGCGCGCGGAACCGCATCCAAGGACGATCGACTTCGAGCCGAATCTGTCCGAGCTTGTACGTTTCACACAATCAGAGTGTAAAAATACGAGATATTTTACGGGAAATACTAACATGGGAAGACAGTAAAAGAGCTAAAATACGCGAGAAACCCGGAAAAACGGGAGGGTTGACACTTCAGCGTGAGAAATCGAGAGTGTGGCGTGTGAGCGTGTGAAACCAATCAAATGCGGGTGTCTCACGGCCAATGCGTGAGAGTTGGCAGCTATGTGTTAGCAATTACCAGTAACGTTACGTACCCGATTTCAATGGACTGATGGAAGAATAAATGTTATCTAATCAAAGCAGACGAAACCGTCACCATCCACTCAGATAACTAGAACTAATAACGTTTTATTTACGCTATAAAAATACATGTGTAAATTACATAACGTGAAGATAACTTACCTTCGTCCCAGAATTGCTTCTTTTCCGTCTTCTTGAATGACGGCTTACTCCCAGAATGTACGTTTAGAACTAACCGCCTAAAAATGGACTATGTGCACGTTAGCATATGCTAGTTCCGGCTGCAAAACCGATATGGGGTGTCTAGTTTCCGGTAGCCTGATGGACGACGTAGAGGATGTATGTTTCTCCAGATGTCTTGAACATTTGCCGAATATTACAGTCGATTATGTTAATCGACTGGCTAATGATTTTCCTCCAGCTCCCCAGAGCAAGAGAGAAGGGGTTTAAATATTACATTTCTCAGTATTTGCATCATTTTGAAGGGAACGTTAAGTCACAACAACATCCATGCTCAGACTGATCTCATGAAATTGCGTATGTATGACACGTATCACGTATTTTTGGGATGCTATCAACACGCATAATCTCTTTTCAGCGTTTTTATGAATACCGTTTACTTAACGTTATTATTGTATATATACACTTTTGTGCGCAAAAAACAACAAAAATAACGACTTTATTTCAACTATTCACTTCCTTCTCCATGAGCCTGTAAGTCAGTTAACGTAGTGTGATTGCGTAGAGCTACGCCACACGTAGGCTCACTATTGGCCGACGCTGGTCATGTGTGTGTGATGCGTGTGACGTACAATAACAGAAGCTTCCGCTATTAAACTAGTAACCTGACTCGCGCAGAGGGAGAAATAAACGAATAGTTGAAATAAAGTCGTTATTTTTGTTGTTTTTTTGCGCACAAAAGTGTTCTCGTCGTTTGATAAACTTAAGATTGAGCCCCTGTAGTCACTTGGACTATTTTAACGATGTCTTTAATGACTTTTCGAGGACAGCAAGAGTCATTCCCCCAAGAAGCCTATGGACTGTATGCAGGAGCGATCTTAATATCTTAAATATCTTAATTTGTGTTCCGAAGATGAACGAAGGTCTTACGGGGTTGGAACAACATGAGGGTGAGTAAATACTGACAGAATTTTCATTTTTGGGTGAACTAACCCTTTAAGTGCTATCAAAGTGTCTCACACGCCAGAGCGATTGAGACGAGAGAGGTATGTATCAACTCGTCTTAGTTAAGGGAATAACATAGTTTAATGTGAAAAAAAAAATGGTGGAGTATCCCTTTAAAGATTCAGGTGCAATTAAACTATTTGGCTTCAGTCATATTTGCGCAGGTAAGTGCAGTTTAGTTGAAAATATGAAGTTATTTATTTATAATAAACTGAATTCTGCAACAGTCAGGGCTAGATTTAAAATATCCAGATTATCACCCCCTAATTATTACCTTACAACAAAAGTCTTCAGTTTAATTGAAATATACAAATGTACTTCATCAGAAGTAGATTTAATGAATAAAGCGATTCTAATGTTGATAAAAGTCGAACGCTCCTCTGGCACAATCCTCCGGGTTCCCGTGTGGAGGAAGGAGACGGCGCAGTCTGTTAAAGCTGGACAGATAACTGGACATACAAACAATGGAGGAGTGACGGGGCAAAGGGTGTTGAGATTGAGGGAGAAATCAATAGAAAATCAGCGTTTTGGGACGGCCACTCATTTATCAGATGACACGGTTAAATAGCGTTAAGGCACTAAAAATGAGAAAAATATGTCCCGTCTGGGCCATCGTATTGATCACGCGTGAATGGGTCCGTGGAAGGCTGAAGCTACTAATAAAATAAGACATATCTGAAAGTGAATCAGCCAAGAATCGATCGGGATGGTGATCAAGGCCAAAAACATCTTCACTGGGATTTAAACCCTGATACTCTGACCCCCCACACACACAAAACATGCTTACACACCTCACCATCAGAAACCATCAGATCACTGGACCAGACAAAAGTTTGGATAGATGACTGGATTTATGATTCCTTTAATCTAAAAGCTAACGACTGTGTGATTGGAATTAGTTTTGAATTAGTTGATTAAATTTAGTCAATTTCTTTTGACATCTAAATGGCGGGACTTTAATATTAGAAAATAGCGAGAGCCACAGTCATATGAGGACCATGAGATGATCAGGTTTGAGTAATGCAAATGGATTATTATTATTATAAATATTTGAATGTTTATTATTTGCAATGTGTTTGAAAATGTGTAGGTTGAAATAATGTTGTTTCAGTGTTAAAATCTATTTTCTCAATGCATGTTATAGATCCCATCGTAAATGATTCATCCATAGGTTTTTATGGAATGTTAAAAACTACTGTTGCTACTTCTGTTTTATCATTACTTTGATTCTTAATGTTGTAAAAATGTCCATCTGTATTCAATAATTGTGTCCCTTAAAACTCATCTTTGATCACCAAAATGAGATATTTAAAAGAAAATTCCTTGAAAAAAATGCCCTTGTGCCTTAAAATGGCTTGAATGTAACTCACCACTTGCCTCATTTAATATGCGTGGTTCTATGAATATGCTAATGAGCCCCGCCTCCACTCACTCACTCAGCTCAGAGACGATTTGGTTGACGATTACACGTTGATCTGATTGGTTACAAGGTCGTTTGTGACGTCAGAAACACCAGCGCTTTCCAACCGTGTTTTTGAGACTGTCTTTGTGAACTGGCGCATGATCACAGCTGGTCTAAGATGTGCATTTGTGGTTAAAAAAGTATATAAATGTTTATTTTTATAGAAAATTGCTGATGGTTTGTTTAGATCAGACTCTTATTCCTCGGCTGAGACACAATTTAGTTGCGTAAACACCTTAACTATGTCGTTGATATGTAATAAAAATAGCTTTGGTCCAAGGACTGATCCCTGTGGAACCCCACAAGTGACCTTCTGTAACTGTGACCTGTCTTTGGTGAATTGAGTTTCTTTAACAGTATTTTGTGATCAATAATGTCGAAAGCTTTCTTCAAGTCTATAAAAAATCCAACCAAATAATTTTTTATCTTCTATTAACCACTGTAAAAAATATTTTCATGATTTGTAATCACAACATTTTTTTTCTTTTGTCAAATCAACTTAAATAATTTATGTAGTTCAGATAACATAATATTTTGAGTTTCTGATGATTAAAATTAATCTCCTTCATTGTATTGACTCAATTTTTCCAGTTCAATGAACTTAAAATTTGAAGGCAACCAGGTTACTTTATTTAAATTTTTTTACAGTGATTACAGCCATTTCTGTGGATCGATTTGCTTGAAAGCCATACTGATGATCCAACCCGATCTCGTACGAATTTGACGAATGATTAAAAAGTGGCTAAATCGTAACAATTCATACGACCTCACTCGTACGAATTAGTACGATTTTGCTAAATCGTACATATTTTACGAATTGCCCAACTCGTATGAATTCATACGAATGACCTACCCCTTACCCCGCCCCTAAACCTAACCATCACGTGGGTTTAGACAAATCGTACAAATTCGTACGAGTGAGGTCGTACGAATTAGTACGAATTAGCCACTTTTTAATCATTCGTCGAATTCGTACGAATTGGTCGTGAGATAGTGTTGGATGATCATTTAGTAATTTTTGTTTTTAATGAAACTGTCTAGTCTTCGACTAAGTGAACATCTTGGTTGACGTTGGGGTGAGTAAAATATCAAGAAATTTTAATTCTGAAGTGAACTAATCCTTTAATGCCCAGGACTGTTAAAGCACGGTGCCACGGCTCTGGCTTCAACGGCCTTCTTAACAGCAAACCTCCTCCATCAGCCAGCCTCATCAGATGGACCAGTGTTGTTTTCCCTGGATGTAATTTCTCCTGATCGTCTGCGAATGCAGAATGTGGATGCGTATGTTGGTGTGGATCAGCAGGACCTGCTACTGTCCTTCATTAACTAAGTGCTTTACGCTCTGATTTAATGGCTTCATTCAGTACCTCTCTGCTGCAAACTTCTGAACATGCTTTATGAATCTCGTGACTTGTTTCAATCAGATTTTAAAAGAGGAAATGTTTGGAGAGATCAGGGATCAGAGAAGCAGTTAACAGTTAACGTGTCAGTGAACAAACGAGAAGCCTCCGGTCGACGGAGGAATTGATGCAGATTGTGTTATGCTGAACAAAGAGGGTTGTGTTTCAAATTGGCATTTAGATATTTTTACACTATTTGCTATGGATCTGTTAGTTAGTGTTTATCTACACTTACAGGCTGAGTTTATTTAATGTAATATTTGTCAATTTATTGAAAGGATATGTAAAGGAAAGGATAGCCCCTAGTGGAATAACATTAGGCAATATTATACTTTTCAATTTAAAATGAATATTTTCTATATTATAGTGCACATCTTTATATTTTGATATGTATGATGTATATAATACAAAGTCTGTCTAATTAAACATTTTCATGATGCAATGGTTTATATATATAATATACATAAAAAACCCTACTATATTAACTGCCTTTTGTGATATTAATTAGGACTGTCAATGTAAAATAATTGAACGCAAAATAATTAAAATCATTTTTATGGTTTCTCAGTGACCAGTGAAATAATTTTAATAAATAATCTTAATAAAAGTTTTAATCAAATTTTACAGCCCTAATTTAAAAATAGATACATCAAATTAAATTGATATATTGTCATGACCCCCCAACTGATCACCCAGCGCTCGCGCTGATCGTCACGCCACCTGTTTTCTCTTTAGTCTGATTTTGTCTGCTACTTCTAATAACCATTCTCCCTGCATTGCCAGATTATTGCTGGTTTGTTAAGGCTAGTTCCTGTACTATCAGCAGTTAGCTAATCCTCTTATGGAGAACCTTTGTCATGTCCTGTCCTGTCCTGTCCCTCCATCCTGCTGCTCGTGGCCTAAGACTGAGTCCTCCTCGCTGACCACAGGCACCTCTTTTCACCAGCCAAGTTATCGACTTATGTGTTTACCAGTTCTTGTGTTTTACCGGTTACTTATGTAACCCTGAGTAGGGAACGGAGACGTTAAGTCATGACAACAAATGGGGTTTTGTTTAGAAAGCCTATCAACTTCGAGAATATGAAATTAGTCGATGGCAAGAAAATGCCATGGGGTTTTGCGGAATTTGCATATAGTAACTCCGCCCCATCTCGTGGGTATAAAAGGACGGATGCTGGCAACATACAGAT